TTGAAATAAAAAAGGACAAATGACTACATTTCTTCTGTTCTAGAGGAACTCAAGGCAAGGTACCTCATTTCATGTCAACTGGTTATTTGCTCAACAGCATTACCACATTTTTGTAGGCCTCATAGACACCCGAGACGTTTGCCTCAGAAATAATTTCAAGTTGATGAATTGAGTCAAACACACCATCAGAATTGTGACTCAAGACTACACCACTTCTGAAAGTCTGTGAATATCATCATCTCAACTATCTGAAGTACCTAGCTATAGTAAAAGAAAATGTAATTGTAAGCAAGTAACACTGTCAAGCATTTTCCACTTGAATCTTTGAACAAAATATTCTCTCTAGATGAAAGATCACATTATTTCTTGGTTTCTTATGGTTAAATTTATACACAAAATAATATAGATATCTGAACAGTTTTTCCACATTTTATAAGGGAATAATTCTAAACTTCTGTTACATGCTGGGAAAGCATTTCATCTGATATGAAATTATTTAGGATGTAGACTGTATACTTCATTAAAGTTTACATGATGTTGTCCAACATGGTAGCCACCAACCATATGTGGATATAGGTTGGTTACTTGAAATATAGTTAGTCTGAACTGGGATGTGCTGTAAGCATAAAATACATAACAGATTTCAAAATTTAGTATAAAAAAAATGTAAGAAATTCTTGCCCTGCTGGTGTGGCTCCGTGATTGAGTGCCAACCCCTGAACCAAGGGGTTGGTTCGATTCCAGTTCAGGGCACATTCCCAGGTTGCTGGCTAGGTTCCTGGTGAGGGGCCTGCAGGAGGTGGCCAATCAATGTTTCTATCTCTCTATCCTTCTCCCTTCCTCTCTCTCTCAAATCAATAAAATAAAATATTTTTAAAATGTAAAATATATCAATAATTTTTATATTGACCCTATATTAAAGTAATATTTTAAACATATAGGATTAAATAAAAGATATCATTACATTAATTTCACTGGTGTATTTTTACTTTTTAATGTTGCCACTAGAAAATTTAAAATTACTTATGTGACTCACCTTATATTTCTATTAGAAAATGCTGGTTTATACTGTCAAAAAAAATCCACTGAACAAATAATCTTTTCTAAAAAGAGTGATAAGTGCACAGGATTTTTGACAAATGTTAAAGATGATGGGGAAAAAACATAAAAAATAGAAAACAATCTCTGCCGGTAATTACATTCATTATGAAATATAATGGGTATCATATATTCACTCTGACTTAAGGGAAGAACTTGGGAAATTATGTCAGATAAAAATTCATGGAAAAGGTATAATAACCTTATGTTATTATATCACACAGAACCACAAGCTGGAATATCAACTTATATAACAGTCTATACAGTGTCTATTTTTACTGTATTATAAAATTAATATATGGATTTTACAAGTTTTATACTTCATTTTTATTGGAGATTAATATGCTTTTATAATTTCCTACATATTATTTAGTTGAAAGGGTTTTCAATAATTATTTAATCATGATTTTAATTTTGCCTTTTATATTTCACCCACATTCTAATAATTTTGCTAACTTTGAAAAGTGCTGCTTTAGCATACATGAATTATATAGAATTATACACTGAAAAAAATTTTTTTACACTGAAATTTTTCATACAAAATGTAAAGCTATATTTTGGATCAAAGAAAGATAATTTTACCCCAACATTAAGAAGCTATTATACCACTTGTAAAATCACAAAACCTTCCTCTAAATATTCTACTAATCATAATTCATTTCCAAGAAATGTTTAAAGTACACCTAACAACCTCTCCCTCCTAATTTCACTCCCTTTATTATCAACTAGAGGCCCAGTGCATGAAATTCATGCACAGGTAGGGTTCCTAGGACTGGCTGGCAATCAGGGATGATCTGTGGGGCAACTGGTGGGCAATCGGGGGGCCCCGCTGGCACCCGCCTTGGCTGGTCTGGCGCTGCCCGCTTGCTGGCCCCACCCCCACCACTGGTCGCCTCCCTCTGTTGGGGAGGGAGGAGACCCCACTGGCACCCGCCTTGGATGGCCTGGGGCCTGTGGGCTGGGGGCAGCTCCTGCATTGAGTATCTGCCCCCTGGTGGTGAGTGTGCATCATAGCAACTGGTCATTCCACCATTTGGTCAATTTTCATATTAGGCTTTTATTATATAGGATAAGTCTTTAATTCCCCAGATTTTTTTTGAATGTGCTGTTATGGGTGGTATGTAGAAGTGAAATTTAAAAATTAATCAACACCATATCCACCAATGCCAATCTTTCCCCAAAGAGTTGATGATACAATGACAACATGAGCTTACAAAATAAATCAAAATATTTAAGTTGTTTCTAAATCCATGTCTCAAAAAGTAAATCATCGTTTTTGTTGAAAAATTTTTCCCAATATAAAGATCCAAATCCTTCACTTCTTTTCAGTACATTTCATAAATGACCTCTTTCTCTATCTCTATGTTTTCCCTATCTCTCTTTCACTTGCTCTTGATCTCATTTTAGCTATCATTCTCATAATCTAAATCAGGTGTTTTATACATTTAACTGACCCATTCAATGTCTATTAAGATTCTTTCAAAATATGTAATACTTCTCTCTACCTAACTGCCTGTTACACAAGACTTGCTTCCTGGGAATGTTTCATCCATTTTTCCAGATAATATAAAATGTCAGATAACATACTTATGTTAAAAGCTTTCTTAAATAGCCCTTGAATTCCTCTAATCACCACATTGTCAATTACCAAAGAATCATAGGATAAGACCAATGTCCAGGTTGAAGGCTTTTATTTAAGTGTCAGAATTTTTAATTATAATGTTATAGAAATATATAGTGTATTAATTATGAATGCACCACTGGAAGCATACTGGAGAGTTTGGGTCTTGGCTCCACCATTTACTAGTTGTGTGATTTGGGCATTTTACTTCTTTGCGTTGGTTTCTTCATCTATAAAATGGTATCGATATGGGGGGGGTGGGGCAAAAGTAGCTTTACAGTTGTAAGTGAAAGAGAGTTTATACCTGTATTATTATTTATTAATTATTGTAAACCTACTTTTACCCCAGCCTTTATAGTATTTATCCCTTATTGTGAAAATTAAGTGGGAAATAAAATAAAAAGTGCTCAAAGAAATCTGGCACATTAGAAACAGTCAATGTGTCATATCCTGTATAGAAATGCTCAACACTCCAACATCAAAAGAAAAGATAACTGAATTTCAAGGTAATTCTAACTTTCAAAGCTATTTAAAAATTTTGTGGCTCAGACGTAGACTGAATACAACAGGAGAGTAATGAAAATTCACCCGTCAAAGCAATACAATAAAATATCTACAGTTTGCAAATTTGGATTGAATTGTCATGGATACACATGTAATCTGAATTTATACCCCTAGTTTATAAGTTTTAAGTTAAAATTTCCCCCAATTTCCTGAAAATACTAGAAAAAGGCCACAACTTTTGCCCATTCTCAATTAAAATGTATATGATCTATTATAAAACTTTATATGACACACCCTAGATGTATATCATTGGATATATGATAGAAGGCAGAACGCCTGCTTTACACAGATTGGCATTGTTTCTTTCCTATTTATTCTGAGGAGCAAAACTCATTTTCTCAGTGAATAAAGTTTAGTGAAGCAATCAGGCATCAGTCCCTATGGAAACACATCAGGTTATCCTGTGAGATTTCTTCAGAATGCATGCAGAATTTGTGTAAAGAAACTCTAAATAAACAAATAATTAAGTGAGTAATCTGACAGGAATCCAAAGATCAGTGATAAAGCATTGATCATTTCTAGGTATAAACGTTAAGTCAAAAAACGTTAGGCCACGTTAGCACAATCATGTTTGGGTTATAGTTTGAAGACTGAAATCACTGAGTCTTATATAACTGTTTGGTAATTGCTGCCGTGTGGAGTATAATCTCTACCTTTCTCTCCATCCTCCCTTATCACTCCTTAGAAAGGAGAAAATGATAATTGGGCTAAATTCCAGGACACGTAATGGACCGTGTATGAGTGTATGTGTAAATTAGGCATTTTCCTACCCAAGCAGCAGAAGGGTGAGGGGAGGTGCCCTCTCAGGACAGGCCAATCTTTTTGATCCAACCTGTTCCCATATTAATAGGAGTGTTCAGGTATCCAGACCCTTACAGCCTGGGTGCTGGCTTGCATACAATGCAGAGAGAAAAGCCTTAGATCTTGAGCTTTAACCTCATGCTTTAGCTCCATTTACCAGCCACCTCTGGGCTGGAATTTAGGGCATGCAGCCAAGTAAAATTAAATGCCCTTTGTTTTCCAACTTGTCATTCTCCTTGGCCTCCCTGTGTTCACTTCCTGGAACCATCCGGAGAGGCTGTTTTCTAGGCCAAGGCGAGATTTGAGCATTACTGGGTACCTTGGCTTTAACATCATCTAAAAACACCTCAAAATCAACCCTATTTAAAACAATAGAAACAGTGGGACAATAGTTAAGAAAGAAAAAAGGTAGTACATTCCTTCTTTTTTAGTCTTTAACGTCTGCTGTGAGGTGCAGAGGGAGACCATAATTGCGGAACTCGGAACAACTATTTTTACTGGTAATCATCAGATATAACCCTTGCATTTTATTTTATTGTTTGTTGTGAGGGGTATGTCTGTTTTGGAGGGAAAGGGGTGAAGTCTCAGATGTGTTCCCATGGATGATATGGGATATAAAGATTATAGGAATCTTCGGAGAGATTGTGAGATACAGAAATAAAACAACATCTGTAAGTTGGATACCATGAGAAATATCAGATCCAAATGTACTATGTTACTGGAAATGAGGAAGACCTCTCTATTTTAATCTCCACTTTAAAGAAAATACACTCATTCTTAAAATCTCATGTAAACACTTCAGCAATATTTGGAAAAAGAGGACAAAATTAAAATGCAAAAACATGGTCATTTCAGTATACTTATTTTATTAAAGCATATTAAGTGCCAAGAGCAAGAATAAGAGACAATGTCTTACCTCCCATCTCGATCCCAGTCATACACCTGTACTTTGATTGTTCTGTCCATGAGAAAAACGCACACATAAAGTTACTTAGGAAGATCAAAAGGATATATAAACCCAAGAACTTATATGTCATAGCCCATGGACATGGGCCATAGGGTAGTGAAGACCTGGGGGGAATAGGGGCTTGGAGGACGGGGAGTTTAGGGGGGTAAACAGGAGACCTCTGTAATACTATCCACAATAAAAAAAAAATCCATCAAAAACAAAATAAATGAATTGTAGTTTTTAGAGACAAAATAGTGTACGCCTGAAGGCTTGACATAGTAATTTGAACTTGTCTTTGATCATTTTATTGCTAAATTCAATTTGTGTCTTAGCCGAGGTTTCTAAAATCTGCACTGATTCTGTAAAGGGAGCAGGCAAAGTATATGGGAGAGGCGTGTAGTGTGACAGAGCTCCCTCCTCAATAGGGAGACATTCAGCTACATCTCTCCTTTTGAAAACATTGTGTCAGAACAGGATTTCTTATCACAGCACAGACCAGAATCCCAGGAAGGGCTTGTAAAAACATGCATCCTTGGACCTCATCCCCAGAGTTCCTGGGTCAGTAACCTGGGTTAGGGCCTGAGAACCTGAATTTCTACAAGGTTCACCAGGTGATACTGAACTACAGTATGAAAAGCACCTTCTTAGAGAAAAGGATAACCAGTTAATTAAATTATAATCCAATTAAAGGAATAAAATGACAATCAAATGGCATGATACATTTTAGAATAAAAATAATGACATATTGGTAATCAATAGTTCCTTCTATGATATTAGTTAACAGAATAAATTCCCAGTTTCCTAATATACAAGTACTGAGATAAATAAAATAAAGAGACTGAGCTTTTACTTTCTATTTATTTGCTTTTCTTTTTGGGTGAATAGGGGTTTTTATATTATAAGCTTCCCATCAATGTTAATTTTTAAAAAAATACACCTTTGATATTAAGAAATTTTCAGGTATATAATGGAAAGATCTTCAGGGCCACCACACCCACCTACTAGATCTATAGATTCAGCAACCACGAAAGCAGTGCTGCAAATAGAATTTTAAGGAGTTTTTCAGGGTTGATAATATATCTAGTCATAGTCTTATATTTCATATATTTACTTATGTCAGCCTAGAAAGACAATACCAAATGAAAGCCTTGAGGCAGTGAACATTGTGGAATGACTTTTGAATATTAATATGTTAAAAAACTTAAACTAATATTCAATATCTTTTTAGCACTTTCCACATTTTTCTTCTTGGAAATACAGTCAGTTTAACCAATTTTAACTTACCAAATTATCCCTCTTCCCCAAAACATAAATAAATTATTCATTCTTTTGTGCATACACAATTACATCAGTAAAGAAGCTATTTTAATTTTTTAAGCAACTTAGGATTATTGAATACAGCATCTATAGTAAATAATCAAAGCTCTCAGAAAAGCTGTCATTTATTTTACCTGTCATAATCGCCATTACATAATGCTCGGACTGAGATCTTGAATGCTTGCCATACAGGATTCAGAGTATTTTTGACAACTTCTGTTTTATGGCAAATTGTAAAACTGTAAAAAAAAAAAAAAAAAGAATTTTCAGTTATTTCTGTGATTCAATTATAATATATAATTTTAGTAGTCATTCTTTCTCTCGGTGCAGAATAAATGTTGCCATTCCATTTTTTGCTACTGTATCATTTAATAAGAAGGGGTTTGTGGTTTTAAAACTTTAAAGATTAGCTCAATATAATATAAAGCAATAAGATTTTGAATTAAGTTTACTGCAAATGATGTTCTGCAAAATCAATACATTCTAAAGCTGCTTTGTAAACAACCTCTAAATACTGTGATGACACATTAATACCGGGGAAAATGTCCACAGGCCGCTAAAAATATGAGTTATCAAACCCTGAGAAGAGCTGTTTTGTTGGAGTATCGGGGATGAAAATCCGATTGGAATGGGTTTGAGAAAGAGAAGAGAAACTGAGGCAGGGCGTATGAACATTTTTGAGGAGTTCAGCTTTAAAGTGAAATTGGGGGAAAGATTAGTCAAGGGAAAGGTTTTGTTTTTGGTTTTGTTGGTTGGTTGGTTGGTTGGTTGGTTGGTTGCTTTTTAATTTTCTTTTTTCCAAGAAGGAGGCAACCACAGAAAGCTCGCAAGCTAAAGGAAACTATCCGCAAGGGGAACCAAGTTGTGAAGCGTGAGGGAAAGGGGAGGAAGGCTGGAGCAACGTCCTTTGGGCAATGCGAGTGGGTCCAGGGCCTCAGTGGAGGAGTTGCCCTTGGGAGCACCGACAGTCATTCTCCAGGAACTTTCAGGAGCCCCAGTATCACAGCACAGGGTCGATGCTATCGTGAGACCATGAGGAAGTCCTCCAGTTGCTGCCATTTTCTTATGATACAAGAAGCATGATTATCAGCAAAGAAGGAAGAGGGCAGCCTGCCGAAGAGTCTGGGAGAGAGGAAAAGTTGATGGATAGAGGAAAAGGAGTAGGACTCCTGCAGAGCCCAAGGGCCTATCTACAATTAACATCATGAACCTGGCTGGCGTGGCTCAGTGTTTGGGAGGAACATTGCAGGAATTTATTATGAGAGGAAGAGAGAGGGAGAGAGAGAGACAGAAATATATCAGTGGTGAGAGAAAAATCATTGATTGTCTGCCTCCTGCACACCCTTTAACCTATGGAACCTGATCTATTCCTGATGAGGGCACATGCCCGGGTTGCAGGTTCTATCCCCAGTAAGGGGTGTGCAGAAGACAGCCTATCAATGATCCTCTCTCATCATTGATGTTTCTATTTCTCTCTCCCTCTCCCCTCTTCTCTGAAGTCAATAGAAATATATTTTAATTAAACAAAATTAAATTAACATCATGAATTTTAGGAAGATAGCTCCATATATGGTTCCTTCTTTAGCTAAACTGTTGGCTCTATATATCTGAAGAATTCCTTGAGGGAAGATAACTCAAGAATACACAATAAGAATACACAACTGGAATCCATGGAGCCTCAAACTCAGTTTTCTGTGTTGTTTCCACCAAACCATGCAATCTCTAGACATTAATAGAGTCCTGTAAATGTTCTTGCCTGGTGTGAATTATGCAGCAGTTCATGAGCTATAAAATGTTTAAAATAGCCCTAAACAGTTTGGCTCAGTGGATAGAGCATCAGCCTGCAGGTTGAAGGGTCCCAGGTTCGATTCTGGTCAAGGGCATGTACCTTGGTTACGGGCACATCCCCAGTAGGGGGTGTGCAGGAGGCAGCTGATGGATGTTTCTCTCTCATCGATGTTTCTAACTCTCTATCCCTCTCCCTTCCTCTCTATAAAAAAAAACAACAATAAAATATATTTTTAAAAAATGTTTAAAAGAGTCTTGGTTAGAACAGTACATAAACCTGGTCCTCACCAATCCTTAGTCGTGATGTATTCTAAAGACAGGATTCTCTCTAACAGTCATGAACATGAGAATTGCCATAGTGAACATTGTGCACTTAACCCCCACAAGCAAATAATCTCTTTTGTAAAGCCTTTGAGTCTATCTTCTTCCATTACGGCAAGAAGGTTTGTTTCTATTAAGATGTCAAATAGAAATATTTGAAGAGATCAAGTATTCATTGTAAGAATTATGGCATAGTGCCGTCCCTTTCCTGGTAGTATCCTCACCCATCTAAAGAAACACATGCTTCTTACTAAATTGAAAGAGTTCTATAGTCAATGCTGTCAGAATTGACTCACTTACGCAATTTAGGGACCACTGGGGACAAAAGCTATTAAAAGAGAAGACTCAGAAAGGTGTAGTCAAGCTATCTAAAGCAGAGGGAAGAAAAACAGATGGGATCAGGGAGAGGTAGGCAGGAAAAAAAAAACCAACAGGCACTCAAATGAGAAAAAGCAAAAGTACACAAAAAAATGGTTAAGAAACATTCTTAGGGACAAAATTACATATATTGTTTTGTTTCAGAAAAAGATACCTGCCTTCCTTCTTAATATAATACATTCTTAAAGATCTACAAAGGGGCCTTGCCTTCTCTTCTTCTCTTGTATCATATTCTACTATGTATTAAGTCTTCGGTATGGTGATAGATTAGGTAGATAAATAGATGATAGATAGATAGATGATAGATAGATAGATGATAGATAGATAGATGATAGATAGATAGATAGATAGATAGATAGATAGATACATAGATACATAGATAGATACATAGATTATAGATAGATAGATAGATAGATAGATAGATAGATAGATAGATGATAGATAGATAGATAGAAAGAATGAGGAGCAACTAACTGACTATTTCACACCCACATGTTCAAAAATCTACTGACTTCTTTCTGGCCTCTTTGCTTAAGGTTAAATCAAAACTTCTGTTATAGCCCTAATATCACCAACCATAGTAATTAAATACTTTGACACTTGAAACTTCTTTCAAGACAGTGCATCATCTTCTTAGTGAGGTATTTATGAGCCAGGTAGTCATCTGTCTTTGACTAATCATTTTCAGTTGTAATACATGAGATGTGATACAGACAGCAAAATCTCACCAGAAATTCCAGTGCTACTGTCACTAATGAAAATTCTGACAGGAGTCTGATATAGCTCTTTCTAACATTCAAGAGTGTGTGTGTGTGTGTAATGTGCTAAGTGTCCAACCATCAAGGTAATGACATCATGTGGCAACGCCCCGCTTCCTCTTCCTAGCAACTAGCCTCCTTGCAGTTTCTTCAGCCCAGGAACACGGCTTGCTTTATAGCCAGGTGGAAACATTTTACACTGTAACCAGATGTCTGTGAAGTGTTTTCACGAGCCTCATCTCATTCGATCCTCCCAGAAGTCCCGGAGTCGGTAGATAGGAGACTTGGTGGAATCCTATTTTATTTTCATTAGCCGGAAAACAGAGATTTAGAAAGCTTAGAAACTTGACCAGACTGAAAAGAAGTAATGGTGGACCTTCAAAATGACTTCAGGTTTTCTCACTGCACAGAATATAGTCAAACACTGCTGCAGTTACATATTTTACCCTTTGTTCTCTCTGCATGATCTACAATAATAATCTGCTTCGTGTTGATATTTACTGCTGTGCTGCTGACAATTACTGGAAAGAGAAGTTGGGGTGCTTCGCTGGGCTGGAAAAAGTTTAGCTAAATCAGAAAGCAGGTTTAATTAAGCAAGTTTATCTATAGATATAAAAGGCTAAGTTGACTCGCACATGTGTGATACATATCAAGCTCTTGCTGGCACTATTTGCATGCACGTGTTTCTATCTGTCATTGTCGATCGTGAATTTGGTTGACACTTCTATTATAGAGAAAGGGCGAATAGCGATATTAAAATATTTCTTCTAATTAATTTCCTTTCAGTGTGCACAAATTCATGCACCGGGCCACTAGTTGTTTTATAAATATAAAGTGTATGCATATATTATAAATAGCATTATAAGAAAAACGTATTAAATAATATGTATTAAAGTACTTTAAATGAAGCCATTTAACAAAAAATAGCTATTCTAAAGGAAAAATATTACCTAATTATAAATACAGGTCAAGTTACCAAATTAATGGGAAAGCAGAAAAGAAAAATTTATAATCACATATTATTAAGGTTTTTAATAATGCTTCTGGTGGAAATTAGTTTTATTCTTTCCTATAAAATGAGCCTTAAACACATTCAGCAACAGGCAGTTTTTGAAATAGCTCCATATTCAAATAAATGCTAAAAATAAGACTAAAATCTTTACAGTCAAAAATAGAGACAGCCAGTTTGGCTCAGTGGATAGAGTGTTGGCCTGCAGACTGAAGGGTCCCAGATTCAATTTCTATCTGGGGCACATGCCTGGGTTGCTGGTTCTATCTCCAGTTGTGGGCATGCAAGAGGTGACAATCAATGATTTTCTCTCATCATTGATGTTTCTGTCTCTCTTTCCCCCTCTCCACTCCTCTCTGAAATCAATAAAAAAATATATATATTTTTTTAAATAGAGGCTTATAAATAGTGAAAAGTAAATGCATTTTTACTCATTTAAAACAAAACATATATATATTAATGTACTAATAAATATGTCTTAGTATTTATACTTGCATCTAGCTTGTGAACTAGTTTTATGTGTGTAAATACAGGGTGTCCCAAAACATGTATATACACTTTAATAGCTGATAGCTCAATTTTGAAAATAAAATGCATTTTAGTAAACATTGCCTTTATAGTTATTCAAAGTATATGTATACATTTTTGGACACCCTATATTTGTGGGAAATTTTCTGAAATGAGATTTATCAAATTTTAGTAGTAGTTGTTTTTTTAAATAATTTGAGATATTTTTATTACTTGTATGTACTTTAATTTCTTAATATTGAGATTTCATTTAATGACTAAGTTATCATTCAGACAAGCATAATAAATTCCTGCAGTGTAACTCTCACCAGTAGCATTAAATGTGTGATAAATTGAAATGTGTAACTAATCTTTATCAATGAAGAAAACTAGAAGAATAAAAATAGAAAATTCAAGAAACAAGTAGTTCAGAAAAGAGGAAACAAAAGAACATTGTGATTCAAGAAATTCTGAGCTCATTCTTTAATTTTTCTGTATCTTTAAAATGACATGCAAATATGATTATTTTCTTTATTGTCCAATATTTTTCACATGGATAAAATCAGTGTTTAAATGCAAATATTACTCTGACATCCTAACTACCAAAACAGAAGAGAAGTATGCAAAATTTAATAATAGGATGCCATGATAGCCAAGAATTGCCCAGTATCTGCATTAAAAAAAAATCCCATAATAAGAAAAGCATTGTTTTCTACTGCCCAATGTATTCATTTTAAATAACAAACTTTTATTTTTATGTAACATATTGCATACTTATTACATAACATTAACATATTATATAACTATATTTATAAGTGTAGCACTATCAACAGGTATTTTTTTTTATTCCAGTCCCCTAATTTTTAATCTCTAAATGATGTTTCCTCTTTAGCTCATATTTTATTATGCATAGTTAAGAAAAACAATATAAAAAACACCTTACTATAAAATAATAACAGCAGCAGCTAACATTTAAACTATTCTTATGTTATAGGTAAGCTTCTGAATGCTTTTTGCATAGCAACCCATGTAATAATCTCAACAACCCTATGAGGTAGATGTAATTATTAGTCCATTTACAGATGGGAAAACTGAGTTTCACATGTATTGAAAAACTTGCCTATGATCCCATAGCTAGTAAGTAGTAGCATCATGACTTAAACCACAGCAACAAAAACTTAGCCCATAATTTTAACTGCTAAACTTTCCCACAAATACTGACATTACAATATGAATCAAAGAAAACAATAAAATGTATTTAGTGGTAGAGTCATATGTATTACACTCTATAACCCATGGATACATTTTCAAACCAAATAGAAACCAGTCTAATAATGACTGCTAAAAATATTCAAATTACAGGAATGTAATAAAAATTTTTACTGAATGTTAGATGTTATTGAAAAACAACAACAACCCTATAGTATTAAAAAAATCAACACATAAAGTCCATTTCATTTTCTAAGAAAATAAAGTCTATAACAAAACACATCATATGTCTACAAAAATATAATTCTTCCATACTATTAAGACATTATAATTTTATAAAAAGTAAAGAGGAAATGTTTCCATGAAGCTGAAAATCATTCATTTTAAATATCAAACAGAACATATGAAACACTTAGAAAGTGATGCACTCTTATTGAGATGGAAATCATATCAATTTTTAAAATAAAAATATTGTACTCTGTTTATCAATTTAATGAGCTTCTCTGAGATAAATAATTCAAATAGCATCCTCATTATAGTATTAAAATGCATAAAATATAAATCTACCTGCCATCTTCATTACTTCGGTAAAACACAAGGAAAGGATCTGATTTTCCAAAGAAGTCCTTCTTGTCCAACTTGTTAGCACAAAATTGCATCAGAACAGCATCCTGAAAACAAAATGAATATAATAGCTCAAAATCTGGATGACAAATAACCAGAAACTACAGATCACAAATAAGATTTGAGAAGAAAACAAATTTGTGAAATTTTCTTGCAAATGGCCAAGTGTGTGAGAATCCCAGACAACATAAAATTGCTTTAAAGGACCATGAGACTGAAAACTTGACTTTGTGTTTGTTCTAGTCACAAAATTATAACTTTAAAATCTGTAACAATTTTCCTCTGAAAAGTGATATTAAGCTAGATAACTCTAGGTATCCAATATCATAAGACAAATCTTCATTCATTTCTCCTGTTATTCAAGTACACATTTTTAGAACATAAGAATTTTTTAAATTCCTGTGGAAATATTTACTAAACATCTATTAAGTATCTCTCATTTATTAGATGTTAAGATGTTTTAGATGATTAGATAAGGAACAAGACTGATACAGACTTTGACCACATAGTTTACTATCTGGAGGGGAAAAAAGTGTTTTTCTTAATTATACAGAGTGCTCCACAATATCTCCATAACTACATATTAAAATAATTTACATTGCATTGGACTTGAAGAAAAACAAAGCACCTTCATTTTCATTTGTAATTTAAATTAAACATGTAACATGTTGATCACTATGCCAAACCAATCATTTTTTTCAGTTTATATACTCAAGCATCCATAGTCTACGTAATTTAGCTTAAAGTTAATCAAACTGGGGTATAATAAATCAAAGATATGAACTATTATTCAATTAGGTAGTGTAAGCTTTTAATAAAGTAGAAAATACTAGCTATTTCAAGAATAAAATTACTATTTTGGTTTGCTTGCTTTTTTAACTGAAAGAAAATGCTAACAATTTTGGAAAGAGGTAGAGGGTCAAAGTAATTCAGATTAAATCAAGAGGTCATAGTTTCAAATCCTATTTGATGAAAATGTTAACAACGACTAAAAAGGCACTTTCTTATTCAACCATTTCTTTGCAGAGTCCCGCAATATTGATTAAGCATCTACCTAAATTCTCCTTATTTCCTTTCAGTAATTCCAGAACACTATACCAGAGATGATGCTCTCTGTTTTTCATTCATTCATTGATATACTTAATAAACACTTCTCAAGCAATCCTCAGAGAAGTTTATAGGTCTAGATTTCTCATTTTCAAAAGTATCGATAAGAGTGTCATTTTACTTCGTTATTTAGAATACAGATGTGATATCTTCTACCAGAGGAATACTCATATTAAAGCAGGCATTATGCTTCTAAGCAGGTATAGTTACAATACACATTTCAAAGAAAATTACAACGGGAACACAAGCAAGAATAAGAATATCATTAATAACTCAAGCTCCTCAACCATGATCACTTTTCAAATCTAAGGTTTCAAGATTAAAAATGGATATACTATCCATTAAGGAAGTAGTGAGAGAATCACCTGGGTGATCAAACTATAAAGTCAAATTGAGAAGAAAGGGCTGGGGTTTTTGTTTTGTTTTGTTTTGCGTTATTTGTTTCGAATGCCCTTTCATCTTCCTATATATTACATGCCCTTGGGTGAGAGTAGTTTTCTAATAACATGGGACGAGGACATTGTTCTTGTCACAGAAAAATAAATAGCCCCTTGAAGATATTTTCCCAAAGCACCTGAATCAAAACACAAACTCCCAAAAAACATTCTGATATACTTGAAAGGCATTAATAGATCAATAAAATGTGTATTTTTCAAACTGGTTGTGAATTAAGCTTCAAACAGATCAAGTATTGTTTAAAAATAAATTTTCACATGATCATTGGTGAATGTAATACCAAGCTGTAATTTTTCAAATTATATACCTTAAGGCTTACAACATGAATAACCAATTCAAAATAAAGATTTCTTTCAATGTATCAAATTATATAAATTTAGGAAAAAATATATTTTGCTATTATTCAGGTTAATAACATAGCGGGGATTTCATCTGTAACAAGCACAAAAGGTATCCAATTTATAAGGAAAAAAATCCAAGCATTTACTTATTTTCAGAAATATACAGGCATCACTGCAAAGGCATTTGTTTCTTTTTTAACCTCTTATGCTTAGTACCACCTGAGAGAATTTTCAAACTTTTCTTCAATGCTCCACATCAGTACAACAAACTTCCTATTGAAGAAATCCACTTGAATATTTCACAGGCATTTCTAGCAAGTTCAAATCTAACTTGCTTCTCCTATAATTTTCCCAGCTCAATTAGTGGTTCATCATCCACTCAAGTGATCAAAGAGTTGTTCTCAATTTCTCCCTCTTCCTTACCCTTTACACATTTCTTCACTAAGTTGTAACGTTCTGAGTCTAAAACTTTCCTCAAATTTTCACTTCAGCTACACTGGCACCACTCTAGCCCAAGCCCACCTCCTCTCTCACCTGCACTTGTACAGTGTGGCATTGATTCCTTTCTCCCTCTTCCTCTCTTGGACCTATCCAATCCAATCCATTCTCCATTTAGCAGACATGTTCTTAAAATGTGAAAGAAATACTTCTGTACATAACAAAAATGTTCCAAGGCTTTCTCCTGTATTTCAGATAAACAGGCTCTTAAAATGGTCTACAAAGCTGAACACCAGCCCTAGGCAGTTTGGCTCAGTAGTTGGACTATAGGCCTGCCAACTGAAGGGTCTTGGGATCAAGTCAGGTCAAGGGCACATACCTTGGTTGCAGGCCCCATCCCCGGCCCGGGTTGGGGATCATGCAACCAATCTATGTGTCTCTCTCACATCTATGTTTCTCTGTCTCTCCTCCTCCCTTCTGCTCTCTAAAAATCAATGGAAAAAATATCCTCAGGTGAGAATTAACTAACTGAATGAATGAATGAATGAATGAATGAATGAATGAATGAATGAATGAAGCTGAACACCAAATGGGCTCTGAGCTGCCTTTTCCATCTTCATCTGGCAAAGTATTACCTCAATCGTCCCCCACTCCTAGGCCCGTGTCACCAAACACCGGACACATTCCTCTTCCTCCTTAGGACCTTACAGGAGCTGTGCACACTGCAGGAATTCCTACTGCCCTGCAGCAGGCAAACCATTCCTCGGGGCTTAGCTTGCATGTCCTTTGTTCACAGAGGCCCACATGACATCCTCCCTCTTATAAGTTAGATTTTCCACTGTCTTTCCCATAATATATTTGATCACTTAGTAAACATCATGACATATTTACCTGCACAGTCATCTGCATTTCCCACAAGCTGTCTGCATTTCCCACAAGCCGTGTTCATTAAAAACAAGGCCCAAGGTGGTTGGTTGTGTTTTTCTCACCATTGTATTCCAAGCTTCCATTTCTGAGACTAGCACGTTTGTACAATATTGCTGAACCATTCAATCAGAATAACAAATATTCTTTGCGGATAATTTCAAGTTACTTGTAAGCTATGGCTTATACATCACTCAAATGATGCTTTTGTATTCCCTGCAGAGGAGCCATCTGGGGGAGGTCCTAAGAATATCAGCAGTTTGCCCTAGCTGGTTTGGCTCAGTGGATAAAGTGTTGGCCTGTGGACTGAAGGGTCCTGGGTTTGATTCCAGTCAAGGGCACAGGCTTGGGTTGATTTCAGAAAGGAAGGGAGAGGGAGAGAGAGATAGAAACATCAGTGATGAGAGAGAATCACTGATCGGCTGCCTACTGCAGGTTCCACGCTGGGGATCGAGCCCACAACCCAGGCACGTGTGTGCCCTGACTGGGAATCGAACTGTGACCTCCTGGTTCCTAGGTCAACGCTCAACCACTGTACCCCTCATGACATCCTGGCCATAAGATGCAGCCTGGCCATACGCAATATATGCCTCAGTATCTTGATTTTCTTTTGAAATAGATGAATAATAATGTGTTCACTGGCATATTTATACAAAATCACCTTAATACCAGATTTTGACAAAACAGCATGTTAATGTCACTGTAAAGAAGAAGTATCTTATTGACTTGGAACTTCTTTTTCCTCTTTCCTCCATCATTATACAAAACTCATTATCATCATACACAAAGAAATTCAGAAACAAGAAGTGTAATAGATGATTAGATGATATCATTAAAAGAAATCATTGTGCCAGTTTAACTGAAAAATAGGATGGTGGTGGGTATTATTCCTGTATTTAAATAACTGCAGTATTTTTGTAAAGTATTTTAGTATACATAAAATGCTTTCATATACATTAGATTTTCAGATTTAATGATATAGTAGTCAATTTTCAGAGATGGGAAAATTTTTAAAAATATTCTAGTTACCTGTTCAAATATTTGGCTCCCTCCCCCGCCCCCATCACCCCTTGTAAACATGAAAAGTGAAACTCAGAGCAATCAGGTGACTTAATAAGCCAAAGCACAAATTACTTGCAAAACCAAACCCGGTTCAAGTCAGGTGGTCTTTTACAGCTTATACTGTAAGTAGTTTTCTGGCATTTTACACATGAGAGAACTGAGACTGAGGTGGCTGTGACCTGCCCAGGGAATAAAGACAAAGAATAAGGAAAAAGAATAGGAAGGCCTTCGCTTTGAATGCATTTCTAACTGCTTAAATTCTAATATTCTTCTTTAATTATCTCCACAAGCCTCTTATTATACGTTCCTTTTGTTATTTCACTATCCCAGCCCCCAGAGTCACAAAGGTGCATAGTTAATTGAAATGCTCGTTTCAGCAGTTGCAGGCAAGTAATATGATGTTTTTCTGACCATATTGCCTTTATATATATACATACTTATGTATATAAAGCCATAGAGATTATCATAAATAAATAAATAAATAAATAAAACCTCTGGGAATTAAAGTGAAAAACTCAGGTACTAATTAATAGCTCTCTGTATAAAAACTACAGCCAATGTCAAAGTATTAAGTTTTGGTACTTTGGGGGAGCTGTTCGTAAAATCATGAAGCAAACATTGTAAATAAAGAGTACTAAAACGTAATTTCTTTTCCTCCAAAATAACAATTCCCAGGGACCCATTGGGCCACTCAGAACAGACAGCACTGACTTCTGATTCAGAACCCTCATTACTTCCAGCTCTCAGCTCATCTTGACAACAATGAAATCACTGAACATGAGTCAATGGCTGTATCAGCAAATCACGACTAAAAATAGCAGCTTTCTAAAAATACTGACTATGCACTTGTTTCTAGTTGGAGTGGTAGTTGGTCCTTCTTTCAAATGTGGACTTACCAAGCTAACAAAAGATGGGACTGTATATATTCTGAATTAATTCAATTAGAAATAGGGAAACATGGGTATGTCATGCAAAAGGGACAAGGTCAAATGACTAGAAATATTCCTTCAAAGTCACACATAAATCTTCAAAATTTTTGCAAGAACTAAACTGATTGGTACAACTGACAACTCCTTATATTAATGCCTCTCCCAAATGATAATGACATTAGGTTTTATTTGGAAATTTTCTATTCTATAAAAAGATCATTAAACTAACTGATTATTCTCTTGGGACTACAGAATATAGTCTCTCTGGTTAAAGTACTAAGTATCTAAAGTGATATTTAATGAGTTATAAATTAATTTAACACATACTTTCAATTAAATTTGCTACAATTACTCAAGTTAATCATTTGTGTAGATTTTCAGAAATATTATTTAAAGTTAGTGTTGGTAACACAATTTAAACCAAAGAAATTGACTTACCCTGCAACAGTTTAGTTCCTCTGCTGTAAGTATGATAGTGCCACATTTCTTCCCTGGAATTCCTCTAAAACAGCAAAATATATATGTATATACATTAATATTTTATATTTACAATACTATATATTTAATATTTGTACAACCAAATAAAGATAGTATTACTAATAGGTGGGCTCTTTCCTAACAAAATATATTCCCAGTTCCAGCATTGAGTTTATCCTATATTTCCACACACCTTGATGAAGCTAAACTTTGAACGCATTCAACATGTCAGCCCTCTGCACAAGAATCTTCAGTAGCTTCATATTATCTAGCATATCCTATCTAATAAAAGAGAAACATGGTAATTGGCATACGACCGCTACCCTTCTCATTGGCTAATCAGGGCAATATGCAAATTAACCGCCAGCCAAGATGGCGGCCGGCAGCCAGGCAGCTTGAAACTAACATGAGGCTTGCTTGCTTCAGTGACGGAGGACTCCAACGTTCCCCGCTTGCCGCTGCAGGCCTCTGAGCTGCAACTCTAAGCAACTATGTAACAAATATAGAAGCTAAACAAAAGCCCAGAAAACTGCTTTAGTCACCGGGATTCAGCCAGCCAGATCACAACATTGTAAGCAAAAGCCAGAAACCTACTTTCACCAGCGGAGGCCTAAGAGCTGGAGCCAAGCCTCAAAGCTAAAGCTGTCCCAGAATAAAAAGACAAAGGAGCGGTTGGGAGCTTTAGTTACCCCCAACCTGAAAACAGCCCTCAGACCCTCACCCAGCCTGGCCAGGCACCCCAGTGGGGACTCCCACCCTGAAGGGTGTGTGACCAGCTGCAAACAGCCATCATCCCCTCACCCAGGCTGGCCAGGCACCCCAGTAGGGACCCCTACCCTGAAGGGTGTGTGATCAGCTGCAAACAGACATCATCCCCTCACCCAGGCTGGCCAGGCACCCCAGTGGAGACCCCCACCCTGATCCAGGACACCCTTCAGGGCAAACCAGCCAGCCCCACCCATGCTCCAGGCCTCTACCCTATATAGTAAAAGGGTAATATGCCTCCCAGCACCGGGATCAGTGGAGCCGCAAGGTCTCCCGGCACCGGGATCAGCGTGACAGGGGGCAGCGCCCAAACCTCCTGATCACCCTGTGGCTCTGTGTGTGACAGGGGGTGGGGCCACAACCCCCTGATCAGCCCTGCTCTGTGTGTGACAGGGTGCGGCGCCCCAATCCCACCCCCCACGGGCCCTGCTCTGTGTGTGACGGGGTAGAGCCATAACCTTCCCATCGGCCCTGCCCTGAGTGTGAGAATGGCGGTGCCCCAACCCCCTGATCAGCCCTACTCTGTGGGTAATAGAGGGCGGTGCCCCAACCCCCTGATGGGCCCTGCTCTGTGCATGACAGGGGGCAGCGCCCCAACCCCCTGATTGGCCCTGCTCTGTGCTTGACAGGGTACAGAGCCCCATCCCCCTGATGGGCCCTGCTCTGTGTGTGACAGGGGGTGGCGCCGCAACCTCCCCATCGACCCTGCCTTGAGTGTGACAGGGGGCTGTGCCCCAACCCCCCAATTGGGCCCTACCCTGAGCATGACTGAGGGTGGCATCACAACCTCCCGATCGCCCTGCTCTGTGCATGTCAGGGGGCGGTGTCTCAACTCCCCAATCGGCCCTGCTCTGAGCCCGACCAGGGGCTGCACCTAGGGATTGGGCCTGCCCTCTGCCACCCGGGAGCAGGCCTAAGCCAGCAGGTCGTTATCTCCCGAGGGGTCCCAGACTGCGAGAGGGCACAGGCTGGGCTGAGGGACCCCCTCCCCCCCCCCCCCGAGTGCACAAATTTTTGTGCACCGGGCCTCTAGTATATGGTATAAATCTATAACAAAACTTTCTCCTGTGGTTACTAATATTTCTATTATGTAATTAAAACCTATCCTAATCTTGGTTTCATATTTCTTTCTCCTTTCATCAACATGGTAACTTATTTGCACTTATGTCTTTCTGCCATTCCCACGCCCTGATATACCGTAGTGTGTTTAACTATTCCCTACCCTGCCTCAAATTTTCCATATCTTTATATGAAACTCCATTTGTTCTATGAAACCTTATCCCAGTCAATTTCACACAAAGCTTGGCGTTCTCTGCACTCCCACTGCACTTACAGGCTAAGCATTTAATCTTTCCTAAATTGTTAGAATCATATATTCTTTCCCCTTGTTTTCTCAAGTTGATTATAAGCTGTATAAGAGCAAAACTCATGAGAACAAACCTCTTGTAAACCAAGAGAGTTAAATATCTATACATAGCAATTGGCCATACATATAAGAAAAATGTGTAACATAAGCAGAATTAAGCAAATTGCAACTGCCATTCAATTTTCCTTTTATGTGTCTCTGGTATATTTATGTTCACATAGCTTCTGGCTGACAGTATGAGAAAAGTTCAATAGGAAAATGCAAGGTATGTGCATGGTTTCCTGCTTTGCACAAGGGAGAAGTCAAGGAGAATTTTCCAAAGGGCAATGTTTGTTCTAACAGTATATTTCATGCTTCTTTTCTCACAAATCATAGTTCAACTCTTCTGTTTGTCATGGAAACTAAATTGTGAAATTAAAGCCCAATGGATGTTTTTGTTCTCAAATATATTATTCATCCCTGATAGTTTTATTTGTACCAGCAGGTATGCAACAAATGCATGCCCCTTAATTTCCACGTATACAGGGATTAGAGTGTTAGTATCTCGACTGGGGACAAGGTGTAAGAATGGAAAGTTAAATTATTCTCCATTGTGAATATATCAATGAAATTATACTCACTCTAAAACTGCTCTACCCTTTCTATCTTTCTATTCTAAAATTTCTTCTGGAGAGCACCACTCCATCCTGAGCTAAAAATGCCAGATTGTGCAGGAAACTACCTATCACAAAATCTCGTTTCCTCTATCTCTTTACTCCCCATTCGGGAAATTGTAAATGTCAGGATCTTCCATTTTCTCCAGGTCTTTATGACTAAGAGATCAATTAATTTATCCTTGTATGTTTTTTTTCTTACAATATTACAAGCAGCATTTCCCAGTTAATTTTTCTAATCCAACTGTACCTTCTTTTTCTTCTTTCTGTGTGGAAATCACAAAATGTATACTTTCGGCATTATGGCAAACTAAACACCTTAACTGAACAACCAACCACCTGAAAATACTTTGAAATGCTGATTACAATTTGCAAAAATTTTTCTCATGGCTCTGATAACCAGGCAAGGAAGTAAGAACCAATCAGAAGTGGAAACAAGCAGAGGCGAACCCTGGTGAGTTTGATCTTGGGCTTGTTTTTAATGGCTGCTTAGGGCATAAAGATAAAAGACCAAAAAAAGGGGGGGGGGAGGGAGACTCACAAGATGAGAAATTCAATAAATGGCCACCTCACAGCATAAAGCTTCACTCACAATGACTACATTGACTGGTTGATTGTAGCATTTATTAGATATAAACATCCCCTTTGGAGGTATGTACAAAATAAATCCCTGCCTGAAAACTTGGTGATGAATAAAAGAGAAAAATATGTCTCTTAGTAATTCAGACCTTACCCAGGCTTGCTGCCTTAATTTCTACTACCTGGGTGGTCATAAAAGCTTCTAACCAAAAATTCAGCAAATGCAAGTGATCATGAGTGCCTGGTAAATGCAAAACCTCTCTGAAAGAGTTTGCCTTGAAACTACATCTGAAAGTAATCTCACATTAAGAATTAAATATATATTTACAAAACACTGAAGGAAAAGTGTACCATGTGTTATAGTCTCCAGAAACAACCGACTGCAGAATCCAACATGGACATAGAATTGTAGAAATGATAGTGGGGAAGGGCATGTAATAAGAGTAGAGCCACAGTTGTTTAATAATTATTCACCTCACTAATTATAGATAAGAGGTTTTCTTACAGCCCTGGGAAACTGCAGGATGAAACAAGGCTGTAAAAAGATAAGATGTCTCGATGAGTCAATTACTAAGAAAAGAAATACATTTTGAGAACAGACCAAGGACAGGACACACTTTGATTTGGTTGCTGTGCCCGGACCCTGACCCCCTCCAGGAGTTTTTCTCAGGAATGCTGGCCATTCTCTGGTCCCAGGAACAGGCTGAGCTGTTTGTAACATCATACAAGATTAGCCACCTTGTTCCCAAACTTTGAGCTCCTGAGACCCGACCCTCCCCTTTTCCATGTTACACTTGCAGCTCACAGTTGCTCATAGCTAACTTTTCCCTCGTGTGTATACAATCATCCAACTGGCAAGTGGGGGGTCAGAGTAGAATTTTCCCAGGTGACCAACTGCTCTCCCCATGCTGCCGGAATTATTGGAATAAATGCTCAGATAGGATTCAACCCTGTCTCTGCTTAATTTGGCTCAAGTAGTGACAGGTGGCCTCCAACACATTGTGTCCAGTTTCAGAAGTATTATGCATAGTATACAAAATGTAAATATGGATGATATAACTAAAACTTATAGAGAAAAATGGAAAGCTGGGTAACTAGCAAAAGCCAATAAAAATAATCAAGACTATTTGGAGAGCCCAGCTGGTGTGGCTCAGTGGTTGAGCATCAACCCATGAAGCGGGAGGTCAGAGCTTGATTTCCAGTTAGGGCACATGCCCGGGGTTATGGGCTCAACCCCTAGCATGAGGTGTGCAGGAGGCAGCCGATCAATGATTTTCTCTCATCACTGATGTTTCTCTCTCTCTTCCTCTCCTTTCCTCTCTAAAATCAATAAAAAAAAAATTTTTTAATAAAAAATAGAAACAAAAATTGTCACACTATGTAAAAATAATAATAAAATGTATCCATTAGTAATTTACAATAGATATCAAAATTTAAGGCTTCAGAAAATTCAAAAGGAAAGAATGGATATACTCAGGGCGAGAAATCTAACCTTAATGAAAACCAGTGTATATACATTAATAGCAAACCTATAGATTTTAAACTTAAATATTTCTAGAAATAGTTACTGTGTCATAACAAAGATTCAATTAATTAGGGAGATATGATATCAATACTGAATGCATCTACAGTTATAGCTCCAAAATATATACAGAAAGAACT